AGCGAACTGATATCACTTCTTCTTCTGAGGAGCGATCGATAATCTTGGCGATGTTATCTCGTAGCCTACAAAACTTCGCTTCGACGTCGTAAAGCCTGAAGCTACGATTATGGCGCGTCGTCTTCGTGACCGCGAAACGCGATACTCGAAGAGGCGTATACGATGTCCCACCTTTTTCTGGTTTTCTTTTTTTTTCCTCGCCCCTTCGCCCGACGGCCTTTTTTACGCACGTGGCATAGTCGACGCGACAACAAATAAATGTCTTAGTATCCGGTGCGCGTTCTCTACCTACACGTTTATGCCGGGAGGGTCGCGCACTTTCGAGCTCGCATCTAAAGTCGTAGAAGCCACGCGAAGAGAAGTTTGAAGCGGATTCGCGTAGTTGGAAGAAGCGGTGAATGAGGAAGGGTGTGAAAGGGAAAGGCGAGAACGAAAAGACAAGAAAGCGAGAGGGAAGGACGGGAGGGAGGGGGATAGACAAGAGGGGGAGGGGAGGAGAAAGAGAAAGAGACGAGTGCAATCCTCGTTTCGACGGGATGGGAATAAGGAGCAGTTTATTTTCGGCGGCCATATGTGCTGGTTATTTCGACAGTTTGCGCGGCCATCCTAAATAGAGGCTGCGGTCTCGTCTTCGAGGAAGATGTTCTCGGGCTTGACGTTCTATCTCAATGTGATCGTCGGCATCGATTTCCCTGGAGATTCCAAACGTTTTGGAATTTAATGAATTATGTAATTTTATAATACATACATGAATTATTAACATTATAAATTGTGGTATAAGGAAATATAGATTATATACACAGAGATAACGAACCCGATAAATCTAGCGATGGCTATAAATTCGATCGTGTATATTTCATCTTCCGAATTAATATTTCTGCTTAAAACGAGATCGGACTGATTGCCGCTGTCATCGCGATACATTTTTAACGAAAAATCGTATTTCGAGAATGGGGTGCGCGATAAAGATTGACTCTCTCGAAATAGATTATCGCCGGCGTGTGAGGTTTCACCCATTCTCCATTCGCTAAGTATAGCTGCGACAGGTCGGGAGAAAGAAACCGGGCACGCCGTTCCAGGCATTCGCGCGTTGGTCGGAAGCGCTATTGGACGGAGAGCTAGCAGACGAGCGTAAGAGAGGGCAAGCACGGGCATGGGGATGGCATAAACATATAATTGGCCGCACTTAAATCTCTATAACATGGTAGTAAAAATGCGCGGTACGCCGCGTAAATCAACACGCAGACGATATGGCTTCTACCCCCGTTGCCGCCGCCGTCGTCGTTGACGTCCGCGCCGCCAAGAGCGTCCTCGTAAACGTATCGTACAGGGTACGCAAGTACACGTGTGAATGAACGCGCACTCACGTGTACGTATTTACCGGCAGATTTTTGTACCACTGTTGACGTTGTATACTTTGTTAGATTGAAGATAATTCACTTGTCGATATACCATCATCACATGCGAGATGTGTGGGTGGCCGCTGTCAATTTTTAGAGTGGATGTAATGCGTGCATGTATGATAGAAATATTCATATGTAAATAATTTTATTAACAAGTGACAAGTAAAAAAGGAGCTTTTAGAGTACAATGTGGTTGAATATGTAAGTTAATGTTATATCCAAGTAAACTTGGATTTTCTCGCGAAAAATTACACTATTTTTATAGACCACCAAAATTTTGAAGATATTTCACGCCGGACTTATTTCTCGCCGGAGAACGTGAGATCATTTTGATTTAATTGTTATCGCATCACTAAAGACGGCTCAAAACATAGCCGAAACGTCTGATGTATTTTTATGTATTTTATTATTATTAAGTTGTTAAAGATCGATATAACATTAACTTACGCACTGTCAACCGTTGTTTGTACTCTGAAAGCCCTCTTTTTACTTGTCACTTGTTAATTTTATTATCGAGAGTCCCTTGTTATTTTATCCCATTTATTATAAATAATTGTATTCCTTAATGAACAATCATGATTGAAAGTCACAATTTCTCATTGCGAAAAGCAAAAGTAATTTCTATCAATTTCCCGAAGGTATATTAAATAAACGAAAAAAATGTATTTCAATTATATCGGAACATTAAAATGTTTCAAATCTTATTTAAAAATAAGGATATTACTAGATTCTATCTACACGAAGTTCATGAACAGGCTTACTAGGCCGGACGTCCTCAAGCGTGGGTTGTCGATCACGATCCTGATCTCATGACGCGCGCTCGATTACAACGACGAGAAACGACATTACATTATCGATGACAGCTTGTGGGCGGATGATCGTGCGTGAAATACCAGTGCAGCTGGATTACATATGTACATCAATGTATCGGAGAGTATCTAAAGTCAAATAAGATTTTAACGACCTGTCATGGAAAACCACATTATACATTTTGAATGAATTATCGCAATCATGACGTAATATTTTTCTAATGCGGTTTTGCAGACATCTCTCGTGTGCTGTGGCGATAAATTTCAATATTTTCCAACGTTTCACACGTGGAATTTATTACACAGTTTTTCTGTAATTTTTCATTTACCGTCTGATTCTTTCAAGATAGAAATCAATTGATTGTATTAATTGTATTATGTATTTGTAATTACGAGAATGAATTAATCGTGCTAGGAATTATTGTGCGATTAAAAAGGATTCAGTCTGAATTGCCGAGCGTGATGAACAATACTCTGACGAAGGAGACCATTTTCTTCTGCCGGGACACCGATAAGTCGTCGCCGTACGGTGCCGCACGGCACAGCACGGTACGACCGGTACGCTACATTAACCCGATTCAGCGAGTAAATTAACTGCAATCAGAGGGACGTTCCCGTTAGCCATTCTGTTATTTCGCTAGCCACCCGCCGCTTCTATGAGCTCGCGGGCCGCCCTATTCGACTTTGCGGACACGCCATTAACGGGCTTCTGAGTCGAAGAGAGGGTGAACGTCTAACGTCGTTTTTGTCGTACGCGCAACGACTGCCGCCAATGGATCTAATGCTCCGGACTGGAAAACAAACTTGGTCAATGAGAAAAAGAAGCCAGCGTAATCGCCGATTTTCGTGAAACTAATCAATTGGATTCATAACGCGTAGCTCAGCGTCTTAACATCGCTGAATCATTGCTTTATTTTCAGTAATTCCGAGATATCTCGTGCTATAAAGTTTTTCAATTACAAATTACAGTTACAATTTTTTTTATGTAGCATTAAAATTTTCGTCAATAACTGACAATTTTCCTGGAAAATTGCGTTTCGTAGAATTTGTCGGCTCATCGGAACGAATCGCGTCACGACACGATAAATATCCATCACGCCGAATCGCAGTGCCGAGGTGCCTTTTCTCGTTTTCTCTCCCTCGGAGCGTTTCAAGAAAGCGGCACACGCGAGAATACGTCGTACGTGGCACCAATTTCCATCGATCTCCCGCCGTTCCGGTCCGTCCGCTCTTACGACGGACAAATTTTTCGTTTTGCCTGCCCGCCGTCGATCCTCCCCTTGTCCGATGACGGTCCGCTCGACGAATTCAAAGTTAATCTCAGGCACGAGACCGTTCTTTGGCGAGCGAGAGAGGGGTGAGTTGGCAGCGCCCCCGGGCGACCTGTCATCGTGAACCCCCTGGGAGCGCCAGGCTCACCCTGATCTCTCTGTTACGATAGAACCTTGGGAATCGGGGCCTTGGGCATTACGATAAGGCTCGGTCATTTATAATCCGCTGGCGTAAGTAGCCTTCTCTACTGCTCCTTTCTGGCTGATTGCAAGGAGAAAGAATAAAAGGAACCTCGAACTTCCGGCACCCAGGCTTGTCGGGAGATTGATTCGTCGGAACATCGCGAAAATTTCGATGAAATTGCATTTTATTCCATAATCACCTCTAAATTTATGTCACAGTAACGGTCAGCAGTATTATTACGATTGTGATCAGTAATATTGCATTTTGCGAGATAAAAATTTATGACTATAAAATATCTCTAATTTTTTGGGATATATATTAAAAATCAATACATACATTCAATATATGTATATATATACAAAATGTAACGCATTTTACAATATATAGACGGAAAGAACGGTTCTGCTGAAATCTAAAAATTTAGCTAGATACAGATCTGAAACTAATTTTGTTGCACCATCAAAATAAATATAGTAGGTCGCTGAAGTATGATGATAAGCTATAAAAAATTTTGACATTTTAGCAATTAGTTTGAGTGTTCTATATAATTATTTCGATGTTGCAACAAAATTATTTTCACATCTGTATCTAGCTAGTATTTTTAGATACTTGAGAAAAACTGTTCTTTCCGTGTAGTAAATAAAAATATGTAGCTCGATTCCTTTGTGCGATGTACGTATCGTTTGATAATATGAAAATATGACATTAGAGCTTCTGGAAAGCATAACCAAAAGCGTCTTAATATCTCTCATTACTGTCCCGGTTTTTGAGTCCCCAGTGACTGTGCAATTAAAAAGCTAAGATTGATAAATGACGGAGAATTAATGCACGCGCGGGTGGAGAAGAGGCGAAATGGGATGGCGAAGAGGCAGGGGTACGCGGTTGAGCCGGGAACGAAGCGTGTATACGGGGTTCTCGGGGTCGAAGGGGGCCGGGTGATTGCGGGTGGCTTAATGGTGTTTGTATGCATGGGAACCAGCCCTAGGGTCGAGGTAGTTATCGCCCACCAGGGTATGGACCGAAAATCGGAGCGCAGTTTAAACGCGTTGGGAATTCTGCTTCGACGTGCGAGATATCTCGCGATTTAATCGCGAACTAAAATTGATTTTTTTTTATTTATCATATTTTAAACAATCAGGCAAATTGATCTAGCATATATTTTATTAATAACATGACAACCCTTTATTATGTAAAACAATTTTAAAAATACGTGATAATATATTTGTCCCTCATCAATAAATAGACATGAAATAAAGGACCGGCAATTGCCATAAATTCGAATTAATTACTGAGACGGCACGTGATGACCTTGGCTCTCTTCTTACTGTTGCAGGTGACGCGAGTAACGCGAGTATCGGTAGCGGCGAGGGCACGGGCGAGGAAGATGACGATTCGTCAGGAAAGAAAAACCAAAAGAAACGGGGTATCTTTCCTAAGGTTGCGACGAACATCCTCAGGGCGTGGCTCTTTCAACATCTTACGGTAAGTGCCCTCTTCTTCATAAAGCACGTTGACGACGTTCTCTGTTTTCGAAAGATATTAAGCGGCGCGACAACGCCGCCGCAGAAACAGAGTGCCACTCGTCACTTTTATTCGCGAATGTCTTTTCGCGTATATGTATTATTTAAATAAGAAGAAAAACCGTCGTTGACATGTTTGTCGATTTAAAATCCTGAAATATTTTAAAATCGCAATTCGTTTCAATGCAAATACTAAGCTATGCACTTAGTGCATCTAAAAATTGCTTTTCTTATCGATAGCGACTTGTAAGTCTTGTACAGCTTTCGTTGCTTATTCTTTTGACACATTTATATTTTTATGAATTGTACATTGAGTCTGATAGAATTTCTTGAGCGTTATGCTTTCGGGAAAATTTTGTGTCTCTCGTTACTTCAAAAATCTGCGGGCAATTAACAAAAAGCGCGTACTCCGTCGAACGAAGAGGGACGGTTAAAAAATGGGAGAAAGAGAAACGCGCGACGGGAGAGAGACTAATCTCGTAATGTCGAGATAAGGAACGATCCGTAGCACGGTGGTAGTGGTGGCTTTCGATTCTACTGGGGCCCCGAGTATCTAATGATTCACGGGTAATCTGAGCCGCAAAAAGCGCAACGCGATTAAGGGGGAGAACGCCAGCCGAACCTCGGCGTCGGCGTCGGCTGCAACCGCCGCAGTTGCGTAACGTTGCACGGCTATTCCAAGCGCAATACATTGTTCCTCACACTGCACAAGTTTCTCTCTCGCTCTCACTCTCATATTCCGGACACCCCATAGATTTCGGGTGTGATCAGGTTACCTTGCGAGAGCGGTAATCATATTGCAGCTCGGTTAATGCCATTACCGCACTGGGGGAGGTTGGCAGCTACCCTCGAAATCACCCTGCAGCCACCTACCGTCCCTCCCCTGTCCTCACCACTCCCCGTTTCCCTGTACTGTATCGCGGCTTCAACAACCCCCCTAACAACGTGTATTGGATATGACGTCGGGGATAGTGGGTTCATGGTTTAATGCATATACGCTGTTTGCAGGATGACGATACCGCACTCGCTCGTAGAAAGACGAGCCCGCGGTCGACGCTCCTCTTGCTTCTTGGTTAATCGCGTCGTCGAGAGCTCTCTCGCGAATGTTAACGACCTCATACGCGGTGCCCAAGTTAAAAGGATTTTAATGTAAAGCGACGATGCATCGGGACTCGATGTGCCATCCCTCCGACGACTGAGTTTCGATGTCTGTCGATTCGTTCAAAGTTTGTTTCGATGTACATTGGAAGCGCGGGGAGTTTTAGTCGACATATGCGCGCTAATTCTTGATGTGCTTCACGTTCTAAATACTCATACATGTCTATCAATACGACTACATTTTTGTTTTAACAGTCCTTTACGTAATGCGCTCTGAATTATTTATGCAAAAATATAATTTTGGACAGTATTTTTTTTTTTTATATATACGCAATTAAATCTCGCAAAGTAAAAGTATAGCAAAATATGAATTTGTATTTTTCTTTACTTTGCACATTTATTGAATTATCATAAAAGAGATAAAAGTACGTTTGTTATAAATAATATAAATGATTAAAAACATCGTATCCAAGATACATGAAATTCGTCTGCGAGCGATTATGCGGTGCCATCCGCCAGAAATTACGGAGGTTTTTCGCGACAGTCGTCTCGGGAAGCGCCGCATTCGTCTCGGCGTTATTACGAGCGATTAAGCGACTATATTGCGTCCCGGAATTCATTCGGGGGCGGGGGGGAGGGAGAGGATGCACTGGATACATATTACACCTTAAAAGAGTAACTGGCATGAACACGAACTCGTGTATTTACTCGAGTGCCAAGGTCTTTAAGCGCTCCTTCCGACATTTCATCTTTTTTCATCGGACAAATTATGATCTTACGATTTCCCCGTAATGTTCTAATTTTCTGCGCTTTTTTCTGCATCGGCGGTGCGCTTATCTTAACAATTTCGAGAGGTGGATGACCCACAATTTTGGCGCGAATTAAATATATATCATGCGATATATCAACCACGTTGAACCGAGAACTCGATAAACGGAAAATTATGACACCCCATGAAGTTCCTCGGACGATGTTTGCGGAGTCGAGGCAAGTCGAAGGTATCCGCCATAAATTCATTGTGTTCAATGCGAATATGCCGATCGTCGCTCATTCCGTTTCCATCGCTATATAGAAGCAACGCCGTCGGGAATTCCAGGTCGTGTTCAGCCATCGGCTGCCATCGTTTAAGCTTAGCTGGTTAAACATTTGGAATCGCGACATCTCTCGCGCCAAGGAATTCGTTGGGGCGCGCCAATGGTCTATCCCGTTTCGTAGCAGCTAGTCCCGCATTGACGCGGTAGACGGGAAGCAGTCGAGCGCGCCGCGGTACGCTTGAATAGACATAGTTTATGTATACACATAGTTTAGATAGATGGGGAGGGAGCGACTGAGGGAAATAAGTAGCGCTCAATGGAAAAGCGAATACCGAATAGGCCGAGCATTGCGTTAAAACGTGATAAGTGTGTATAACGGGGAGGTGAAGCGAAGGAAGGATGAAGGAAGATAAATATATCGGAATAAAATTGCGAGGGAGATTGGGTGTATTAGAAGAAGACGTAGGAAATTATAATAATAATTTGCAATATAATTTCGATACTATATTGTACAGAAAGATACGAATGTTGCAAGCAAAGAGGGATAGAATGTAGATAGCGATCTCTCGTCTATTCAATGCATACTCTGATGTGAATTGGAGATTTGAGTGGAATGAATAAGGACAAGTGAACATGTTTAAATGCAACGTTTAATATTTTATAAAATACGGTTTTTTAATGAAAGAAATACACAGTTGACTGAGCGTAGTCGTTTTTAATTTAGATTATCTGTAATATAAGAAGAAACTAATATTGCTTGATTTTTTTTTAAACATCATGTACTTCTTTATTTTTTATTATAGTATATCCACATGTTCAAGCGCACTTGAGCGCAGTAGTAATTATTAGTTGGCTATTAAGCAACTTGCATGAGAAAATAGATGCAATTTGCCGAGAAAATTAAGTACAAGCACTTACACTCTAAGCAAGTGTGTCTGGAATCATAATTTGTACAGATTAATCTTAAAGATAAGCGGCATGAAAAATCGGGTTCTTACACTGACATTGTCATATACTTTTAATGAAAGAGAGAGAGGGAGAGAGAGAGAGAGAGAGAGAGAGAGAGAGAGAGAGAGAGAGAGAGAGAGAGACTGGTGTTTGTGTTATTATTCTATGGCGAATAAGGATATATAAGAAAAAAAAAAATAGTATGGTTCAAACAATCGATGTATCGCGCAAAACGGACTTGGTGTATACGGCGCCGGAGTGCAACTGGAGATTAATGGAATTTCCTAAAAGCAAGTTTATGTATTCGTTGGCGCAGATCCCCACACGAGCTCGCATGTTTTGCTGCGTTACGCTGACTCGGCGATATTTTCGAAAATCGCGACGCTTGCCAATGCTCGATAAAAGTTTCGTACGGCACGAACGTCCGGCGCGGTTTGCTGTCTTCTTTTTTCATCGGATTGTTTATCGCCGCGTATGAATAATGTAATAGAAGTTAAGTGCATCGAGTCTCCTGAGAGGAAGTCGATGGTGATCCCACTCTCGTTATAAGTACCGTTTCATGCGTTCGCGAGGAGACACGGATCTTTCTCCCGTCCTTCTCTCACTTTGTATAGTGCCCATTCGGATCTTCTTTCTCTCTCTTTCTCTTTCTCTTTCTCTTTCTCTCTCGCTTTTGCTCTTGCTCTCTCCGGTTGTCATTTTGAAAGCCATCCGCCGACCTCCCCTCGCTGTCAGTCCGACCATACATACGTCCGTCCGTACAACCGGCGCACCAACCAACTCTGCGACCCTCCCTAAGTTTAATTAGACGGAAGAGGAGCATACATCATGGTCGACTCCGTGTCCCGACCTTCCTCGGGCGGCGGAGTTGGGCTTTCCAGAATTGTGGCTACCGACCTAGTACTTCTCTCCTCGTCGTTCCTTCTCATATATACTTTCGATGTTATATATGGTATTATAGGTATCTCTGGATATAGAATTTATAACATGTCTTGTTGCCTCCGAAAGAAATTGAAATTTTTACTACTGGGTTAATTTGAAATTTAAATTGCAAACTCAAATACAGAACGTATCATATATTTCAATTTAATTATTTTTAATATTTGATAAAAAATGATACATATTAGATTAATTAATTTTACACTGTTCATTAAATAATTGTATTATGTGATAAGAATCTTTTAATCAAAATTTTTGAATTTTTAAATCTTTTTTTATCTAACTGTGGATATTATTGTCAGTTTTTAAATATTCTAAATTTTTAACTTCTATATACTGAATTCAACATAATAAATATTAGTTAAGAGACGTATGCAAATTAGAGAATGCAGAGGTAAAATGGAGAAATAGAAGAGGGAAATAAGATCGAAGGTAGAATCCACATATATAATCCATTTTAATTTACCTGGGACATATCCATCTAATTTGCAGTTTCCTGCAACTTTGCTTCTTCCACTTGGTCGTTCCTTTTGTTTTTCAATTTTCTATCTCCATTTTATTCCACTGTTTTACTATCTTTGTTGTCATTTCCACTATCCTTTTGCTTGCCGGCCATAACTTCATTCGCACACCGTTATATCAATGGGAACATTCTATGAAATTATATTTGCCAACTCGCTACTTTATGGCACTTTGTTCCACTGAATGTTGTCCACAATCGTTTTTCTTAAGCAAAAACTCATTGGATACGCGTATTAAATTGAAAATGTGAAGCAATGAATTCGGTTCGATTTTCAAATGTATTCGAATTCATGAATATATTACATCTCCTACTTTTAAATATCTTGAAAAATTATTGAAATGTCTCTAAGAATATAAATTATTATGTCAAAATATAAAATAAAATTAAAGTTTATATTTAAAAATATTTTTGCACACAGTC